TATTGTAATTACATTGTAGCAATATTGTAGCAATCTTGTAAACATATTTAGCAAAAATCGAAGGTTTCAGCAAAGTAATAGATTTATAAATATATTAAACACCATAGTTTCGGGATGCTTCTTTGGGAATTGGCATTTGAAAAAATCCCTTATGAAAATATGAATGTAGATCAGATTCAAGAACATGTAACAAATGGGAAAAGGGAGCAATTAAATTTTAGTGAAGAAAATGAAATTCAAGAAAGATTTGATCAAGTCATCAAAAAAAGTTTTTGGTAAATTTATATTGTTCGTGAAATATCATATTTATGTTTTTCTATTTTTATAATAAATATTTAGCCTGGATACAAGATAGGACAAGTCGGATCACTACAAGAAATTTTACATAAAGCATTTGAATTCGAAAAAAGCTCCCCATACATGTTTTCTAAGAAATCTAACAAATCTTGTGGTTTATATCAAGTTCATCACCAAAGCAAAAATCTTTCTATTGCTGATGGGATGATTAAAAATGATCGCATGGGAACTATAAAAATATTGATGACTCTTGAAATGGCAATCCAAAGGCACAGAGAAGTCGTGGGACTTCCGAATCCCGATTTGGAAACCTTATGGAACTGTTTTAATAAACATGCATCATTTGGAAGTGATTTGGGTAAATATTGGAAAGCATATTATCTCTATAAGGGTTATTTTGTGAAGCAAGATCTTGAGACAGCCAAGAAACTCTTTAAAGAAGCCGCTGATAATGGTTTAACTGAGGCCCAAATAAAATATGCAGAGCTTCTAAACTATGGTGAGATTGAAGATAATAATGAAGTGGTCAAATATATAATGTTGGCTGCAAACTATGGAAACGCCGAAGCGCTCTATACTGTAGGAAAAGGCTATTATACTGGGACCCAATATTTGAAAAAAGATCTTGACACAGCCAAGGAATATTTAAAGTTAGCTGCGATTAAAAATTATAAAAAAGCAGCCACATTATTAAAAGAAATAGATACTCACTAATGAGTTTTCAATTGCTATCAATGCCTACTAGCAACGAAGGAAATTAGTGTAATGTTATTTAGACATAACAAAGGACGAATTTTATTTGGAGATGCTGAACAATTTAGTATGTCGATTAAAATTTAGTGTTAATAAAATTTTGTAAATCTAGTGGATTCAATTGTCGAAATTGTAGTGTAATTAAACATTAAATACATATAATTAGTATGATAATATTTGTGTTTCAATATTACAGTATATTAATCAATTTATTAACATTTTAGAAAACAATATAACTTAGCATATAATATTCTTTTTAAATTTGTCACATTTAAAGAAATAATTTCTACTTATTTTTTTATATAAAATTAAGTGAATCTGATAATATTTTTTCGTCTTCTGAATGAGGGTCACCATTCAGTTTCATTTTTCTTCTTTCCTCAGCAATATTAAATTCATTTAACGATTCTTTGTCTAAAACCCATCTATCAAATTGTTTCTTAATTTCTTTCATATCTGGCCTTTTGAAATGATTTGGGTCCCAACAACTTTTCATTAGGTCAGAATAGAGATGGGCAAATCGCAATTTTTTCAAAAATCCCGCGCGTGATACGAATCCCGCGCGGGATTGGATCACAAATCTGCGAGTTTCTTAATTTTTTGTGTCCAATAAAGCTGCTCGATACAGTAGTATCGAGGCAGCTTTTGTCTCGAATCATCACGAGACCATCATGTGATTTGTTCGGTCTGATGATCGATCAAGCGATCGATCAGTGATGTTGGGTAAGTATGAAGTAATCCTTACGTATGATGAAGTGATTGAGAAGTTGAAATAGTTAGTTGGGTAAGTATGAGGTAATGAGTTAGTGTGTGGGTATATTAGTAATTAATAAGGTACGTGGGAGAAATGGTTTTGTTTCTTCTGCGAACCCGATATTCGTTCTGGTTACATCGAGCAAATTTATTATTGTTATCCTTATACTATGAGCTTAAATAAAGATAAGTCAGTTACAATAGAAGATGAATCTTCGTCTCCAGTTAATAATGATCTTGACCCGGCTCAAAAAGCTGGCCAAACTAATTTCGAGACCAATTTTGGCCGTTTGTCTATGGATTTACTGAGATTTTTGTGTCACCAATTGGGCATTTCGGAGACGGGCGTAAAACAGGAGTTGGTTAACCGTCTAGCTAGTGAGGCTAAGAAGAGGAGTGAATTAGTGGGTTTAGATAATTTAGGGAAAGGAAAAAGTGTTGAGTCGGACAAAAATGCAAAACAAGCGTTTGATTATAGTAAATTTAATTTTGATGCTTTTGTGGATGGTTTTGGTAATGTGCCTTCGGATGATTTAGGTTCAAAATCCAAACCTTCTTCTTCTTCCTCTTCAAACGAGGTGCCTATGAATTGGGAGTTTCAAGAAGGCATTTGGAAGAAGCGTGATCTTTCTAAGGCTAGGAATCAGTGGGAGTATAATGAGTGGTGCAAGATTGGTTTATTGTTGGATAAGGCCTTGTTGTCTGGTGAGATTGAATATGTTTATTTGGCAAGACAAGTGGCGCTTGAGAGGGCCTATGTGGTTAGGGTGGCAGATGAAGATGGTTGAGGTGTGGCTGCAAAAATGGCGTCAAGTGAGTCTATGGATCCAATGTCAGAGCTGTTTGGTGCAAAGCGTGAGAAGGCTAGAATGGCGGCACAGCAGTTTTTTGGAGGCAAACGTTCTAGGACATCGTATTAACAGAATCGTACTGCTAGTGGTCAAAGTTGGCAGTCACAGTCTCAGGCTCCGAACATGTATGTTCCTATCTTTGTTCAGCCTCAACCATATTTACATCCGGATTGGTTTGGTTATCCTGGGCATGGACCGTTCTTATGCCCGCCTTCTTTTAAAGGGCAATGGAATGAATTTAGCCCTCAGGATTCTTCCGGCACTTATTTTTTGGGTCATCAACCACAACAACACCTACCACAGCGCCCTTTTCAACAAAATCCCTGAATGAGTGCTCAAAAGCAACAACAAGCATTTCAACCCTCTTCAGCCCCTGGTTATAAGAATTGGGGTTCGGCTGCAAAATTTGGAGCATCTAGAGAAGTGGTGTGTTATCTCTGCGAGGGTAAGGGTTATTATGCTAGTGAATGTGGTTATAGAAAGCATATGAATATGCCCTTTCATGGGGATAACGCAAAGCATAGTAGAAGTTGACCACACTCGGGAGGAGTTTGCTTCGGTAAGCAAGGAAAAGGTGTTGGCCAAAGGAGAGTTGGTTATGGGAAGGTTGCATTCGGAAGCAGCAATTTGCTATTGGAGAAAAGTTATAAAGCCAGCACCAGTTGTAATGGGATGGTTGGAAAGGAAGGTTCCGCTGTTCCCAAAAGGAGTAATGAGTTTAGCAGCTTTGTCAGTACCGAAGCAGTGGAACTTTACGGCCGAGGAGAAAGAGTGGGTAAATTTGGAGTTGGAACGTTTGAGAAGTTCGGGTGCCATAGAATTGGTAGGGCAGGGCAAGGAGAGACCAGAGTTTTTGTTAGAGGTCAGTCCGGTTTTTGTAGTCCCGAAGCAAGAGCTCAAGAAGTTCAGGTTGGTCATAGACCTAAGAAGATTGAACAAGTCTCTTCTTAGGAAATCTTTCAAGTTCGAAGGATTAGGGACAATTTTAAGAATTGTTGGCAGAAATTGGTGGATATTAACCTTCGATCTGAAAGAAGGTTATCACCATTTAATGATGGATGATTTGGCACAACGTTTTCTAGGTTTTGTTTTCGAAGAAAAATGGTTTTTCTACAAAGTGCTGCCTTTTGGATTAAGCCAATCTCCATGGATTTTTGCGAAGGTTATGAGAGCGATGATTGGGAGTTGGAGAGCGTGCAGAATCTTTTGTGGAAATTATCTCGACGATGTTTGGGTCGCTCATCCATCGAGAGATGTTTTGTTGAGTCTAAGAGAGGAAGTGATAAAAGTAGATTTGGAGGGTTGTGGATGGATTCGGGCAAAGGAGAAGGGCAATTGGGACCCCGTTCAGAAGCCGAAGTTTGTGGTTTGTTTATAGATACTTTGGAGGGTTTAGTAGTTGCACCAGAAGAAAAAATCAGTTCAACGATAGCTTCTTTGAAAATTTTGTTGGGAAGTCCAAGAGTTTCCGTTAGAAAATTGGCCTCAGTCACAGGCAAAATTCAAAGTTTGGCAAGAGCTTTTGCCCCCACTCGAGTGAAGAGCTTAGAGTTCTACAGGTTAATAGATGCCTGGAATCGTTGGTGGAACGAATGGGACAAAGAAATAGTTTTATCAGAGCAGGCTCTGGAGGATGTGCAATGGTTAATAGAGAATTTGGCGAATTGGAACAGGCGTCCGGCATGGAAACCCTCCAGAGTCAATATGGTTCATGTGGATGCTTCGATAGTCAGTTGGTGCAGAGTTTTTCAAGGCTTGGTTGCTGCAGGAAATTGGGTAGAAAAGCTATCAGCAAATGTTATTGCTCAGCTCGAATCAATAGCAGTTTTACAGGTTCTTCAATCGTTCGGGGATCAGTTAAAAGGGTCTATGGTTACCTTGATGATCAACAACAAGGTGGTCCTGAAAACAGTGCAGAATGGCGGGCTAGTAAAATGGCAAAAGGATATTGCGCAGGAGATTTGGAATGTGTGCATAGAAAAGGATATAGACATTTTTCAGGTTCGTTGGGTTCCAAGCTTAGAGAATCTGGTTTCAGAATGCTAGATTCGAGAGATTGGGTTTTAAAAACGGAAATAGTGAGACGATTAGAGGATTGTTGGGAAAAATTCGACATCGACAGATTTGCAAGCCATCTCAATGCAAAAATGGAAAGGTTCAACAGCTTGCACTTTTGTCCAGGTTTGGAAGCGGTAGATTGTTTTTCTCAGGATTGGAAAGGAGTAACCAATTATTTGTGCCGCCTTTCGCAATGATTCATCGAGCAATTACCCATGCAAAAGAATGCAGAGCTCTTATAATAATTATCTTACCAGTTTCAGTTGCAGCTCCGTGGTGGCCTATAATTTTGGAAGCTTTAAGGGAGGAAATAGACCTTCCTCCTCCAGAGGAAATAATTCTTCCCAGCCCTTCTGGGTATCTAGAACCTTGCAGCAACAACAAATGGAGATTGAAGGCAGTTCGGCCGAAAATACTTAGAACATGCAAAGTTTCTAATTAAAGAGTCCATTAGCAAAGCTTATAGGAAAAGACTGGATAGGGCATGGAAAACTTTTTTAGAGTTTTCAGTTGAAGTTAATCATATGCCGTTACCAGCATTATTTTCTACAGTGATGGCTTTTCTCGCTTGGTTGGAAATGTCAGGACGAGTTTCTGAGTTAACTGGATGTTTGTCTGTAGTTTCCCGGGCCCATAAAGTTTTGAATTTGCATGATCCTACAAAAGATAGTTCAGTTCTTTATGTAGTTAATGGCATTAAAAAGTGTACAGCACAAGAAGCGGTAGCAAAGTGGCCGAGGGATCCTTTACCTGTTAGGGCTATAAGGCATTATTTTGATTTTCCGCTGGAGGTGGTTAGTTACGAGTTTTGGCTTCGGGACTTGGCGTTGTTAACTCTAGGCCTTAGAACAATGAAACGACCAGGGGAACTCTGCAATTTGAAAAGAAATAATATTAAGTTAGTAGGCAATTTGTTATGGGTCAGAATTAATAAGTCTAAGACGGATCAGTTAGCAAAAGGAAAGTTTGTTCTTATTGAAAGGTTGAACAGTAAATATTGTTCTGTAAGGAGGTTAGAAGAATATCTAAGGGTTAGGCTAGAAACTAGTAAAGACACACCATTGTTTTTATCGAAAACAAGGCAGAAAATGACAGTCCCTTCAATTTCGGCTGTAGTAAAATGGTTTGCAAATCATGCTAATTTAAAGGGTAAATTTACAGCTCATAGTTTGAGGATTGGTGGTGCCACTGTGGCAATGAGTGGGGGTTTATATTTAGAGCAGATTCAAGCTATTGGTGGATGGGTTTCGGATGTGGCTAGGTTATATATGAGAGCAGTGGGTACAGCAAATTTGGGCACGTCAGTAATGATGGGTTTCGGAGAGTAGATTATTGTTCTTTGATTATGCGTTATATTTTGGTATTTCTTAGTTTCTTAGGGGCAGTATATGTATGAAAATTTATTAAGTGAAACGATGCTCTCTAGTCACCCGTATATATTTCCATAGTATGACTCCAGAAATGAGAGACAAAACAAAAAGCTGCTCGATACAGTAGTATTGAGGCAGCTTTTGTCTCGAATTATCATGAGACCATCATGTGATTTGTTCGGTCTGATGATCGATCAAGCGATCGATCAGTGATGTTGGGTAAGTATGAAGTAATCCTTACGTATGATGAAGTGATTGAGAAGTTGAAATAGTTAGTTGGGTAAGTATGAGGTAATGAGTTAGTGTGTGGGTATATTAGTAATTAATAAGGTACGTGGGAGAAATAGTTTTGTTTCTTCTGCGAACCCGATAATCGTTCTGGTTACATTGACCCTCCCGCCCTGCCCAGTAAGTTTTTTCCAAAATGGCCTGTCAGGACGACAGTCATGTGGGGGCCAGGGTGATTTAACTGTTCTAAGCATATGGCCTGTCAGACGACAGTCATGTGAGGGCTAGAGTTGATGAAATGGTTCTGAGCATATAGCCTGTCAGGACGACAGTCATATGAGGGCTAGGTTTGATGTATTTGTTCTAAGCATTTGGCATATCGGGACGACAGTCATTTGTGTAGTTCTGATGCTTTCTATGGTTCTATGACCTGTTAGATGACAGTCATTTGTACCATTTTCCATTGCATTTTATGACCTGTTAAGATGACAGTCATAGGAAATAGAAACGTAATTGATATTTAAAAGGTTGCGAAGTTGCTCGATTAGCAGAAGGGAACACCCGTATGTATTTCCATAGTATAACTCCAGAAATGAGAGACAAAACAAAGAAAAAATCAAATTTATTGTACTACCGGTAGGCATTGTTTTGAATTTTGGCCCAAATTAAGCTTAATTCGGGTCAAAATTCGACATTTCGAGAATTTACGGTGAATATGTTAAAGCAGGCCAAATATTATATTAATGCCAGTCAAATTATATGGTAATGCCGGCCAGATAATTTTATATTAAAAATCCTGTGCGGGCTCTAAAAAAATCCTGCGCGTGTTTCGCGGGATCATGCGTGAATCACACGCGTGCCCATCTCTAGATCAGAATATACTTTAGGAACTTCATCCATAATATCTAATATCATTTAAAGATGCCTGACAAATGACGAAACTTTCATCATTAACGAATGACGAAACCATTTGTCAAGCAATTTTCTGAATGACGATTGACGAATGACGAAACCTATGACGAATGACGAAACCCATGACGAAGCCCGTGATGATTAATAAATCATAAGAAATTAATTTTTTTCTTTTATAATGGAAACAAATTGATCTATGCGAGGTTAATATTTTTATTTGCAATATCATATCTACCCATTTCTACTTTATCGGTTTTTTTATGAACGCATCCGACATTATACAGACTTCTACTTAACAATTTCTTACTTACAAACCCTGAAGAAATCAAATCTGCTACTCAACAATACTTTCAAAACTATTTTCAAGATTAACCACTTCCAGATATAACTTCTGACTTAGAATTTTATACCTTATACCAGCTACACTCTGAGCTTGAATATCTCTATAATAACATTCTTACAGAAATCACACAAAATGAATAGCAAACAACAATTAATCAATTACCTAATCAAAAAGCTTCAGGACCCTCTGGTATTAGCTATGAACATATTAAACACACCTCACTACTTAGCCAAGACATTCTTCGTTCTTTTCTCACCAAATGTCTATATTTCCAAACAGTCCCAACTGACTGGAAAATCTCTAATATCTTTTTAATACCAAAAAAAAACAAATGGGACTTTATATTAGAGCAAGTCTGACCTATCTCGCTTATTGAACTTTTTAAAAAATGTCTTACCAAAATCTTCACAAAAAGACTTGACAATATTATTAATTATGTTAACCCTCTATTTTCTTGAAATATCAATATTAAAATGAATAAAATTAAACTTCAAACTCACTCTAGCAATTTATTGAACAATTAAATAATTACAGTTAAACCTATATTCTTTTGAATACAATCATTAAGTAAACAGAATTAAAC